ACACGCCAGAGAAAACGGACAGTACGCTTCGATGAACTATGATAAACTTATTATTGAAAATGCCGTGTACGGATATGACGAGGAAAAGAAATACAGTTATATCATAGGTCATGCACGTGGAAATCCGGGAACCAAATTCCATCAGAGAAAGAGACGGGTAATTACAGGCAATGGTTATCAACAAACAGACGACGGCCAAGAAACGCAAACTGTACCTTAGGTATTAGGTCCAGCCCAAATAACAGATCCAGTTACTACTTACAAACATATAAATATATTGACATGGAACATTGCAGGTCTAAATAAACATAGACAAGATATTTCATTGATAAATTATTTAAATGATTTTGACATTATTGGTTTATTAGAAACATGGGGCAACTTTAATGGTGAATATGATACGTTTTTGCCTGGGTTTTGTCATTTTGATTGTATCAGAAAGAAACACAACAATGCTTTAAGAAATAGTGCGGGTATAAGTGTTTTTGTCAAGGAAGATCACGTGACTTCAAAACTGATATCACGAATTAAGCATGAATTTACGGAGTGTGTGGTTTTACTATTGAAGGGTAGCTTATTTAGAGTAATGAAAGATATGTATAGGATATCGACCGAGTACGAGGTCTTTCTGTTTAGGAAAGACCTGGTCACGAATTTCATGTGACACCGAGAGCGCGTAGCGCTCGAGGTGTTTCATGAAATTCGTGACCAGGTCTTTCCTAAACAGAAAGATCGATGTACGAGGCCGATATCCAACTTACACACCGTCAAACTATTGGCTTGAGCAATGGCTGATCCGAAACATTTGATGTAATGCACAAAGATAATTTTTAACACAGCGCATAAACAGGTAAGCTTTTATCAACGTTCTGCTTTTATATAGTATATATTTTGCATTTAACTTTGTTTTTTTTTTTAAATAATAATAAAAAGGCTAAATGTGTAATTTGTCAATAATAAAGTGAATGGGTCTGTAATTGAATTTATGTAAAACAATGAATAATTGTGTTGATAGTATTTCGTATCAGTCATTTCAAATTCTAGAACATTTGCTTCCCCCGAACAGTTGCCCTCTCGGACGTATGCCCCCCTTTTTTTGCTTGTAACTTGTCAGAGGTCATCTCGTGTATATATTTTATGTATTTTATTTTTTTATTTATAGATGCTAATTTTTAAGTTTTCACAAATTTGCGCGAGATTTTTTGTTTATTGAAGCAAAATGGAATTTCGACAATAGGCGATGAATTTTAATTTTTGTAACAAACAATTCAACAATTAAATTTTTTAACATTTTTAAAACATGGGGGTGATGGCAAATGTCCAACCCTTGCAAGGATATTGGGGGGGGCAATGTCCGCCACTGCAAAAAGGGAGCAAACTCCGAGGGTGCAACTGTCTGAGGGGCAAATGTCTGATACCCAGCACACCATGAAAGACTTACATATGTATATTGTTGCATGACAAGTGTAAGATACATGATCCGAAATTATATTTTATATAGCAGATTATAAAGTGTTCTAGAATAAAAATAATGAAAATAAATTTTTAAACTAAATCACTTATAACTTTATATTAACATTTCTTTTTCAACATTTCTTTAAATAATATCCTAATCTTTTTTGTCGATATTTTAATAACTAATGGGAGATGTGTCCATTGTAGACCAATCCACTTTGAGTACTTGTATCTGCATGTCACTATAAGCAAGGTTTGGATTATATCTTTAACGTTCTTTGCACCTAAGCCCTGGATTCGAAGGTTTTCAGGGGAAATCAGTTTTGATTTTTCGCGGGTTGAATAGAAAGGTAGGATAAAGCCAAACTAAAAGAGGGGGTGGGGACGGGTTAACGGGGATTTAACAATCTGATTGATCCTGAGGGTGGGAATGTAACCAGCGACTTTGCTATGAACTGTCGGTAGCTGCGGTTTCCTAGGCAAAGCGTATATCAAATGGACGTAATTTGAATCACAAATGAGACGGACATATTTATGTTATATTTTTTCGATATGAAAGTTTGGTACATTTTTTATTTACTATGAATTTTTTGTGGATTAGATGATTTAGAATCGTGATAAGTATGCGGTCGGTGATAACTGTTATAGTTTCATAGAAATGAACTTAAAGCACCCATTTTTGTTATATTGTGAAATTAATGACAGAAGAAGCGCTTAGATTACTATTATTTTGAAAAATGACGCGATTAGAAAAATGTTAAATGTTTCCTAACTTTGATATGCTATCCATTTATTTCATTCAAAGATTTAATATAGAAATGTTGGAATAATTATAAACATTATCTTGTTTAAAAGAATGTATCCAGATTTTGTCAGACAGGAATATTATGAAAATCATTTATTTACATTTTATTTTCAATTTTTGATTGCATTTCATGTTTTCTTTGTCTACGCATAGACAGGTCTATTTTTTCACGTGTTTTTCATGACCGGGTCTGTCTGACTAGAACAGACCTGTGCACGTGCAAAAGATAGACCTCATAACGGACTTTCTTTTGTTAAAACAGGTCTATCCGAAAAATATAGACCTGTCACAAACAATAGAGGAGGTGTGTAATATTGTATACATAACGTATATTTCCCCTGAAGGATCAACAGTTTATCGTAATAATACTGAAAACACTGGCTTTGCACTATTAGATGACCATTTGTTAAATCTATAACATGATTTTCCTAATTGCTATTTATATCTTGCTGGCAATTTTAATGCCAGAACAGTAGATTTCCGTGATTATATTCCGTTTGATAACTTCGATTCTTTGTACCATGAAACAGTCGACTATGAATCAGATTGTTTTTATTTACATAGAAACAATAAGGACAATTCTCGATATAATAATTTTGGTAAATATTTAGTTGAATTATTTTGTACATATAACATACATATAGTGAATGGAAGATGTGGGAATGATAAAGTAGGCAATTTTACATGTGTAGCCAATGATGGTCTAAGTGTGGTTGACTATCATATAGCATCAACTTCAAATCATACTTTAAGATAAAAATGCGCGATGAATCGGACCATTTCCCCCTATTATCTCGGCTCAAATTTGAATCTATTTCCGAGCATGTTGTCAATGTACCTCAATCAAATACTACTCTGATTGAAATAGAATAGAATATGATATAAACGATGCAATGTCGACATTGATAGAAATATACCGTTCGTCTGCTACGCACAGTGAAATGTTTGCTTTACGAAAAAAGCAGTGTAATCAACCAAAATGGTGTGGTGAGGAGTGTCAACAAAGTAAAGAACATAAAAATCTTTTATTAAGCCAATTTAGGTTAACAAACAATGTCCGTGACTACGAATTATATATAGTTTCTAAGAGGCATTTCAAAAATACCTGTCGTAATAAGAAACTAATGAATCTATCTGAAAATAGAAATAAGCATATAAATTCAAGAAATAATCCGAAGGAATTTTGGTCCCTAGTTATATCTGGTTAAATAGTCGTATAAATGATTTACAAACTGATGAAATAACAGAACAAATTCTTAATTGTGCAGTTACAGTTGAAGAAATAACAAGGTCAATTTCTAGACTAAAGTCAGGAAAATGTCAAGGTAAAGACGGTATAAGTGCAGAGTTCTATAAAAATACTTGTCATAGTATATCTCCTATTTTGTGTAGATTGTTCAATAAAATCCTGATAACATTTTAAGTAAGGGTGCAAATGAAAATTTAATTAAAGTTCTTATTTCAAAGTATCAAATACATCGTTTAATGACAATAGACGGGAAAATATATCATGTGATCGTATCTCCGGTCCGATCAGGTGTAACATTGGCACGAGACAAGGAGACGTGAATTCGCCCAGTATTTTCAACTTATACATTAATGACTTAATATCTCACTTGAGAGAAACGTGTAACGGTATATTAAAATTCATTAAGAACAGATTCATGAAAAAAGAGGAAAAAAGACATGGCACATAGTTTTTCCTCATTTCAAAAACTATACTGATCAAAACAAAAGAATGCTTGACATATCTAACACTAATCAACAAAAAAAGCATCTAACATTTAATACAGAATATATGTGAGTTACATAATCACAGTAGCTTAAACTATTATACATGCCCTATCAATTATAACATTTGTGCTTTGTACTGGTGAAATATTTACCCAAATACATATTAAAAAACACTTTTATTTATCATTTTATTCTATGCATTCTTTGAAAATAAAATATATGTGCGTTTCATGTTTTTTTTAAAATTTGTTATATTCTAAAATTTATTTTATTGTGATCTCGTTGAAGTTTGTCTTCCAGAATTTTTTTTTATTTACATAGTTGTACCTTTAATGTATCTAGATGGAAAAAAAATTGAATAAACTTTTGGATCATATTCTTCATTTGTTTCTTTTTATCATAGTACATTGTTATAATTGAAGATAATCTGTGTGTGAGTAACACCAATAAGTTTTAGCATATACTTATGACAAATATATAAAAGGAAAGAATCAATCTTCATTTGAGTTAAGTTCTTTCCACAGTTAGATCTTAATTTCTAATAATTAAACGTTCGTGATATGTTATGTACTTTCCCATTTTTTAAACATTGGCTGTTATGTATATCATTTGTATATGTATTTATATATTTTATATTCGCCATCGGTTGCCCATATGTGCAAGTGTTTAGAAGAGTATTAATTAGTCATTTTAGATTTTGGAGGATAGTGCAAGATACAGATACAGAAAGATATCCTAAATTCAGAAGCTTCTCCGAGTTCTTTAGCGTGTTTAGTGTTTAAGCACCAATACATGGGGCTTCGAATTAAAGTCTAATCAGTAAGACTGTTTTAGTAAAACATTTTAGTTGGCCATTCTGGGAATGGAACCCATAACTACAGGTCTCACGCTCTGAGCGATTGAGCTATGCGTGCGGGCTGAGATATTTTGTATATTGACAGTGTTTTGTCAATGGTTTATTTATGTTATAAGGACCAATTTATTTTTAAAACAACAAAATGATTTGTTACGTCACAGAAATGATGAAGAAGACATTTAGCACAAATGGCCTTAAAAGCAAACAGAAATCTATTGAACCATCTGGGTCATATATTGGTGTAGAATAATGATGCAACATAAAGTTATGCAACACTGACATTATCAATATTTTTTCCTTCTTTGGAATTATCACAGCTATCTGATCATTTGGTATTGCTGTGATTCCAGCTGGAGGTGCGTCCATCACTTTCTCCTCTATCACAGTCTTACTATCTGTATCTACAACTTTCAGCTTCTGATTGTGGAAACTATCAATCAGGACAATTTTGTTGGAGCTAAGCACAGCACATCCTATGACGTGACATTTGAAGAAAGCTTTGTCGGAATCAGTTCTTATATTGATTTTATCAACATATGTCAGGCAATTTGAATAAATTTCTTTATTCGAAAGGTTTGACGGGAAACTTATTTTTCCAAAGGCATTCAGGTTACCAATCATTTTTTCTAGGTCCTCATTATGTTGAAACTTGTATTGTACATTTATTTTATCTAATGATTGCTCATCCTGTTGTATATTATCTGTTTTGAGATTTGATTCAGCTTGTTTGATATTTATATACAGTTGTATATTCTGCTTTGATGCCTTGTTGTCTTGCAAACTGCTCCGCGTTTTTTTGGCTTCACTCGAAGTGTCATTACAATTACCAATTACTTCTTCAATGGCTTTTTTGTCCTGGGATCTCCTTTTTCCTGCAATTTCAATAACTTTCTCTTGAAGTTCATCTAATCGATTGTCAATTCTTTTTCGATATTTTGTTACTTCAGTGATAAAGTTATCATATTGAAGATCTAAAAACTTGTCCCTATGTCCTGCTTTTATCAAAACCGCATCAGTATCTTTTACTTTCTTGTCCAACTTCTGTATAACGTTGCTGTATTCTACACTCTCTGCAATTCCTGTACAGTTTTCAGGTATATAATCTATTTTGCAAGTTTTATGACCAATGGTCATGCAGACTGTACAGCCAACAGTCTCGTGCATGGGACAGAAAAACTTAATAAATTCATTATTATGTGTAGAACATCTCTGTGTGAAAATCTCCGGTATAGATCTAATATGTTCCTTCGTGTAAGGAGGACTGCCCCTCGGCATGTTTCCTCCATCAAGCAGTTCATGATGCTTAAGAACTTTCGTCTTTTTATGAAAGTTGAAGCATTCTCTGCACAGAAACTCCTGACATGTCACACAAAATCCAGTTGCTTCAACAATTTGTTTATCAGATGACAGACAAGGCACACATTTGTGATCAAAATCCTCTGCTGAACTCTTTAAAACTGATTCACTTAAATCAGACTGTTTATGTCCAGGCTCTGCCATGATCACAAATATCGACGTAGTTGTCTTTTTTTTAGTTGTCCTTTTTTAGATTAACATCAAAATAACCAATCTGTCATTGATAATAATATCCATTTATAGACATATTGATTCGACAACTTATTAATTTTCTCTAATATTCCCGCCATTCTAGTGTTAAGGCAGGCATAACATATTGTGCCCTTTCGCTATTAACCTAATTCAACCTATCGCTTTAACTGGGCAATTAATTTTGCCAGGTATGTGTAGTTGCACAATTTCTGTCATACCATCAGCTCATCTCATGGTACAAATAAATAACTTTACAATAGAAGTCGTCATGGGTTACTGATATACTATTGTTTAGTATAGCTGATCAGTAATAGATAGGATATACACAATGTCATGTTTATTGGATTAAATCTTGATAAGCTGTATACAATCACAATTGATATACCATAAAATACTTTATGATATTCTGTCTATACAATACACAATATTTGAATTACAAAAGTAGTTTATAGACATAGATTTTTGTGGAATAAAAATGAACTCGAACATCTTAGCAAGTTGTTGATCCATAGAAACAAAATAAATCTAAAATAACATACATAGTTATCATATTAATTCTATGTATGAAACAACACCATGGACATTGTTGCCATGGAAATGTATCATCTACTGAGTACACTTGTAAAATAAGATCTTCAATATACCAGCTTAATATGTGTGTAGATTATTTTTTCTTGAATTCGTAAAACTTAATACTGAATTTTACAGGATATGAAGGATATTTTGGAATTGTTAATATACATACCTCTCATGATGATACATTACAGATTACCAAATTTTATCCAATGAATGAAATTCAAGAACATTTAGGCTAAAATGTAAACATAGCAGTGTGGTTTCTTTCATATTAAACATAATTTGAACCGAATTTGTTAGGGGCAAGAACTCTTTGTTGACTTTTTGCCCCTTATATTGCAATAAAGATATTAGAGTTATAGCTATCAAGACTCTGAAAATGATCAAAGTTTGCCCCTTATATTGCAATAAAGATATTAGAGTTAAAGCTATCAAGACTCTGAAAATGATCAAAGTTTATAAATGCCATGATTATTTCACGGCGTCTCAACGCCGTGATATTGTGATGGGTAGTTTTCGGTAGCATGGGCAAAAGTCACGTGACAAAATTCCTTTCGATTTCTACAGCCGACAATGTATTGGCTTTTTACGCAATCATTGTACAGCCCATTTCCGTGCAAAGTTACATAAAAACATTTTCCTTTCAAATCATATACATTACAGTATTTTTATCAACACGCGAAATATCAGCGTGATATATTTACACAATTTCGCAAATCCTTTCGACACACTTGAGAAGTTTGAATACTAAAACCCGGATTTCGAATATCGTTGTGGTCTACATGATGCCGTACATGTATCCATTCGTTCATTCATTTATATATTTTCAAAATTTTCCTACAAGAAGAAAGTTCACCTGCCAATTAGTATAAGGATAGGTAATGAACTATTATAAACGATTATCCTATTAATTTTATAAATTACGTTTATCTGTTGCACAGAATGGTTGTTTTTACAAGGTGTACCAGCATCCGGATGTTGAAAGCTATCCGATTTTCTGTAAAACTGCTGTAACATGGCCATCTATTTTTTTTATGAATACTTTACCATGAATTTGTATGGCTTAATAAAACTGAGCCTGCAACATTTCTTAATTTTGATGTTTGGGGTGTTCTTTTGGGTTTCAGGTTTTCTCTATTTTAAGGGGAAGTAACTCGTGTTTACTAAATTATCTGTTCTTTTCTGTCTATCTTAGGTTGAAGTTAGGTATTACTTACTATTTTTTGTTTCATAAATTTACCAGTTGTAAGGTATTAATCAAAAGCATAGAGGCCATGATGAGTGAATATTGATATATATTTTTTTACTGGCTTTATATACCTTAGACCAGATTTTTCTAGTTTGTTCAGTTAGCACATATACTATAGGTATTCTGCTAGAGGAATATTCTAATCAATATGTGAAATTATTATTTTGTATGTGTTTGTATGTAAATTGCTCATAAAATAACCTTTGTTAAAATGAAAAGGTAGACTATTTAAGCTATACATATGGGTGCTCATTTTAAACACTTGATATATATACAGTTAGTTTTATAGTAAAGTCTAATGAGGGACAGTATTTGTTACTGTAAGAGATATGCATTTAATGTTTAGAAACTCACACAACTTAATCTTTATTATATAATTTTTATTGAGATTTTTTTTTTACTTTTATACTATACAATATCATGTACATTACAGTTTTCTTTCTACAAGATTATGAATTCCACCCAAAACACCAATGTTAATAGGATGTTATATTTATTTTTAATGGAACCTGAGAATTATTTATGTAATGTTCATACAAGTGTATCATAGTATATGGATATAATGTGTATTTCTGTATTTAAAGACTTACAGTTATGATGGATGAGACTTGCATTTAAATTTATAAATGATAATACATAATCAGTCTACAGGTTAAAGATGTTAATACCCAGTGTTAGCTGGCTAATAATAGTATCTATAACAGAGTTTATATATTATAGTTTTCTTTCTACTAGATTTTGAATTCCATCCATTAGTACCTGAATGTTAATGTTAGGATTTCATATTTATTTAATAGAAACTGGGAATTATTAATGTTATGTGCATACATGTATATCTTAGTATATTGATATGATGAGATTTATAATATTTCTGAATTTAAAGAGTTACAGTTATGTCATTATTATTAAAGATTGAGACTTTCATTTAAAGTTATAAATGGTAATACATGCATTGATTGAAAATGTCCTGAATCTCAAATGGATCCAGCAATATAATTGATAAAGTCTCAAAACAAATCATATTCTGAATAGTTACATTCTATTTTTTTTCTAACATGTGCATAGTTTGAAATGGACAGCTTCTGCCTCATCTAATGGAGGGACACCAGTCTCAATCTCCAGGTCTCCTGAGTCAACCCGACAACATACTTTTCATAGAGTAGATTGTTACTTGCCCTTGAATAAATTTGTACACTAAATTTTATAGTGGGTGATTTAATGTGCCACATGAAAACCAACATGAAGTACAAAAAGTAACCAGGCGCCAGATGAAAACATGAAAATACAATCTACCACGAAGTGGTTCGTTGGTTGCATAATTTTCATGTTTTGCCCGGTGCCCTCAATGATGCAAAATACAAATCAGTCTTCATAAAATTCTTATCATAGAAAAAAGGTTAGTTTTTTATCTGTACAAAAAATAGATATTGTACATGAATTAGCACATGCAGTTATGTTCACTTTAAAATTAACCTGTTATAAATAATGGCACAACCAATAACTCTCTAAGCCCTTTATAGTAAAAATAATTATACAATGGTATATAAATTGTTATCTTAATTAAGACTATATGAGTATGTAAGGTTTTTTTTTTTATTTATTAATTAAGAATTATTTATCTGTTAATTTGAAAATCTAAATATCTGTCATGGTTAAGAACTGTTCACTATTTAGGGGAGAAAATGTGTAAGTGGCCAGATAGCTCAGAACATTATTCTGTGGGTCACAGGTTTGAGTTTATAATGGTGAAGCTGAAAGTTTTTATCATCCTGTGACTGCATATAACTATGAGTTTAATTCACTATGCTCTGTTAACATCAGAAATTCAAGGACATTAATCAATATAGCGGAGAAATATGTTGTGGTTTAGAACTGTTTCATTATCTAAGAGAAAATGTGTAGCCGGCCAGATAGCTCAGTTGGTCTTCTGAAAGTCATGTGTTCGAGTCATGGTCAGGCAGTTTCAGTCAGGGTTTAGAAGTGGGTTTGCGACTGGCACATGTTTTATTCATTTAATAAAGTGCATTTAATTTGAAATGGACAAAGGCAGTATTGCATGATACTGTTAGATCTACAAAAGCATTTGATACAGTTGATCACACTATACTGCACATGAAGAAGTTCTTTTTCTTCTTCTTAATGGAACTTCAAGCATCTGCCATATGTAATGACATTCTTACATGGTTCAAGTTTTATCTTTGATAGCAGCTGGTTGATGTGGCTGGTACTCCTTCTACTTCTGCTCTGAGTACCTATGGTGTCCCCCTGATGTTCATTTTAGGTCCTCTTTTATGTCTAAAATATGTCAATGACATGTCTGCAACCCTAAGCAATACTAAGCTTTATTATATGCACAGGTACAAGTATCAGACCTGGGAAGAAAAAATATGATAAGATTTTCTTCCCAGGTTCGATACTCGTGCATGTGATTATATGATGATGACTCAGGTATCCTTGTATCTGGTAAAATAAATCTTAAGATTGGTTAATTGACTATAAATTGTCTTTGAATCTTGGCAAGACAGTGTCTATTCTTTTTGGGTTAAGTTTCAACTTCAACTGGGTCTAGCCTCCAGGTCACATGAAATGGTACAGCTATAAAGTACACATCTTTTGTTAAGTATTTAGGTCAAATTCTTTTGGCGTGGCCCTTTGATGCTTTGCATCAATGCTTTTCTTGTTGTCTTTTTTTAATAATTTCATTTTCTTGTGCAATAAAACATTTTTTCCCTAAAATGAGACTTCGTTTTCCATATGCGTTTCACAATAAGCATTTACCATACCAGGTTGTACAATAACTTAATTTGGTCCATAAATCAGTCTTTTACACAAAGTCTTCTGAACTTCATTCAGAATTCATGTCTCATTATTGTGAGCAAAATTCCGTGTTTCCTTTAGCTATAAGCTGGAAAATGTTTAATTATCCCCCGCCGAAAAGGCGGTTGGGGATATAAAATTAGTCTCCGTCCGTCTGCCTGTCCTTCCTTCAGTCTGTCCTTCTGTCCTCATTTTAGTCCGGACCATATCTTAAAAAGTATTTGAGGTATCAACTTGAAGCTTCATAGGTGGATATTAAATCATATTTAGGAGAAGTGCAGTGCACAACAATGATGATTCTACCCTATAG